AGGATCCCAGGGGAAATTATAGGTGAGCCATGTGGGTTTGAGTCCTGTGCAGGATGGTTTCTGCAGGAGAAGGCTGACTCTGGAAGGCTGTGTCTGCCCTACTCTAGAGCAGGCTTGTCTAAGTGGCTGGAGTATCAGAGTCTCCCTTATACCATGAGGGATGCACATAAATGCATTTTTGTTTGTTGGCTCCTTAAACTTCTGTTATAATGATATTGCCTCAGACATGTTCCATTAGCATGTCTTATTTCTTTTTAGACATATATTGGTCTCATTGCTAAGTTCTGAAAGATACTGTCTAGTACCTAGTGGATCATCGAAATCTCCTGTTTTCACTGGAGGATCTTCTCTTAAAGGCTCCAAATTGATATGCCAAGAGCTAGTTGTCCAAAAGCCAATTTGTGGAATGGCCAATTTGCTGAATGTATGTGTTTCTTTCAACTTTAATTGACTGGTGTTCATTTTGTCTTTATAGCAGCACTTTATGTTACGGTCAGTTTGTTTTTCCCTCTACTGCCTGCTGCAGCAACAGCTGTAGACTTAGAGGCAGGAGGGGAGAAGACTAAAGGTTCTAAGAAGAATATAGACACAGGAGAATGTTGTCTGAATACAAATAATTCTTATTAATCATTTGTGTCTGTTCTTATTATTATAATCTTAATAACGTATTTGTAAAAATATATGTGTGGGAATTCCCCCACATTCTGAATCTGAAATCTTTTGAATATTTTTTTCTCGTGACCTGTGACCTTAGTCTCTGGCTCTCTCTCATTCTGACTCTTTCTCATCCTGTCTTAGCTACTGTTGTTCAGAATCCCACTTTCATGTCAACCAAAACAAATGGTTAAAGGAGATAAGTACATATGTCTAATTGCTTTGCTTCTCACCCATTTATCCTCATTCCAATTAGATTTAGCTTGATGGGTGGTATTTTCTGAAGTTATCTGCAAAGTCTAGTACTTTTGACAAATCTTTAACTCCTAGGGTGTTGCCTGTAGCATCCAGGTAGGAGAAGGGTAAGAACTTACTACGGAATACAAATGCCAGCCTCTGTATATGCACTTACAGCATAAGGAGCAGTTCTGGGTACAGAAGATATTTTGTATTTATTGTTTTCAGTAAGTTTGGGTTTTAAAAAGTTGGTATTTAAACTCAAGGGCTGAACATTGAAGTTTACTTGGAGAATTGGAACTTAAACCATGTTACGTATTATTTGTCAGTTACATTGATAAAGCACCTGAAAATTCCATTTAGAACTGTTAATTTCATTGATAATGCTGAATTAATAGTGAGTTAACGTGAATGAAGACTATTTATGTTGGCTTAATTGCTATATTGACTTGAAATATCAGCCAGCTGGATAAAGTGACCATTTTAAATCCAGCAATTCCTTCTACCCCTTGTCTGCTTCCCACGCCCACAATACCTTTTTTCACCAGCATAAAGTGTGAGCTTGTGTGTGTGTGTGTGTACACACACGTCCATGGAGTACTGAAGCATAGTTTATTCAAAGCTACTGTGTTGTACAGAACTCCTCAGATGCAAATGAAGACCCAAATAGAACCAGCTTAAACAATCGAGGGGGGTGTATTGTAAAGATGCTGGAGTGACTGAACTCTAGGACAGGCTCTGGAACCACTGGAACCAGGAATTTATAATGCTTCCAGGATTTCCCCTCCATCGTCTAGTTCTTTGTTTCTCCCTAAGCACTGGTTTTCTGTATCTCCCTGCAGACTGATTTCTCCACATGGTAAAAAACATGTTATGCTGCACATGGCTCTGGAGTTTGGTATTTTATAGTTTCAGCCACTAGAAAAAGATACCTGTTCTAAGTCCTGGCATCCCAGGAAGAAAGTTCAGTCTTCTCAGCTCTCATGGGGGTGGTGGGATCATGTGAGAACGGGGCAGCTCTGAGGGGGTCATGGAGTGGATTGAGGTGGGAAGGGATGCACACGAGGAGAAGGAGGCGCCGTTCTCAGAAGAAGAGGGTGGTGCTACAGGTTCCCAGAAGACTAGGTGTCTGCTGGTGTTGTTCTTGCACATTCCTGAGGATTTACCAGGAATCCAAGTGCCTGTTTTAAATCACTTGGCAGACTTAACTGTAATCTTAGATTTTTTTCTTTCAGCTTCTTGTCAACTACAAGCTTTAATTATAATTATTCTTCAGCAGGCATGTACTAGCGCTTCTTACTCATTTGTCAAATTGAGCTTGACAAAGAGTCCAGCAAGAGCCCCCATCTTTAAAACGACAGAAGGCTGAGCTGTCAGCTCTCCATTGTTTTTGTAATCCAAAATCATTGTTGCCAGGATTATGTTCAGCTCCTCTTTAATCTCTCTGTGTAGTCACTGCTCTGCAGTGAATATTTGGAAACTTTGCACAGATGAAAGAGTAAGTCTGTTTTTTCCTCTCCATCTAGGTAAGTAAGCCTGATCCCAAGGAAGGAAAACTCGTCATTGGGCATTGCCTTCCATACTTTGGGTTTCAAGATTTGAGTTAGTGACTATCGTTAATAATGTATTCTTGAAAAATGCTGAATGGATGTAAAGTATTCTTACCACAAAAATGATAACTATCTGAGGTAATGCATATGTTAATACCTAGATTTAGTCATTCTACAGTGTATATGTACTTCAAAACATCATATTGTGCAGTGTAAATACATACAATTTTATCAATTAAATTTTTAATTTAAAATAAATGAATTTAATTTAATTAAGGGTATGTTTTTTTTCTACCCAGAAAAAACAAGGAAAGATTTCAGGTAGTTTTCAACTGATAACTACCTGGGTATATTCTGGATCCATTAAAAATAAAGTTTTTGGTAGTCTTTCCCATGCTTTACGAATATTAGTTCCCCATAGCTCTCAGTAGTATCTGTTTCTAGTCCTGTATTTGCCAGAATTTAGGATTAAATGAGTAGGATCTGCAGTCCAGTGAGGCCCCCAAATGATTGTCGTTTCCATGGAAACAGTTGAAGGTCTCTCAATTAAAACTGCCCCTGCAGTCTAGAGAGAGTAAGTATTAAAATGAGTTTGTCTGAAAAGTCAAATTAAACCCAGAAGAGACAAATGGTCCAGGAACATACTGACAATTGGGATCATATTTTTTTTGTCTTTGGGAGAGGAATTGTCTTGATATTTCAGGCACAGTTATGTTTGCTTGTTCATTTGCTTTGCTGAGTTGCCCAGATGACTCTCCCTGTTATCCATGGATTGTGGAAGAGTGTTTGGGAACAGTGTGATCTTTGCTCGGACTTGTGTGTGAGTCACAAATAAAAAGCCCGTTAAAAATGGGTGTAATCATAGAATAGTCTTAAAGTAGGAAGAATCCTAAAGGTCATTAAGTCCCAATTTCCCATCCAATTTGGGAATCCCTCCTAGAGCACTGCTGGCAGAGTTCACAGCATCAGCTCCCTGTGAGGGGAAGCCCATATTTCTCTGGGCGGCCTTTGACTCAGTGCAGAAACCTGGTGCTATTAGAAATGCCTCTTCATAATAGAACTGACCTCTCTGTCAATTCCATCTCTGTTACCTCTTTCTGGTGCCAAGTGAACTGAAGCTATTTCTTCTCCCGTAATTAACTTTTAAAAATTTAAGGATATTATCATGTAACCCCCAAATCTGTTCTTCCTCTTTCTGAGCAGGTCAAAGACATTAAGACTTTAAATATTACCGTCTATGGTTAAAGGCACTCTGAGGGGGGAGGTTGGTTTCCTTCCAACACTGGGCCCTCACCACTGTTGCTTGGATTTTCTCTGCTTCTCTGGCAAGTTTTTTCTTAGCATCATTTGTATTGGTGGAGAATTGATTTCAGTATTTCTGTGTTTTCCTTCAATCTTCCTTGCCCCTGGAATGAGTGCTCATAGTTTAGAGCTTGGAAACCTAAGAAATACAAAATTCCATCAAATCATTGGTTTATGCAGCGTTGGGAATGGTGTGGTTGCTTTCTGTGAGGTCACCTCAGAAGTTAGTGAACACACCCTTCATTCCTAATAGTTTTAATAATCTCTCAATTCTTCATCTGTGACTTTATTTAAATCCTTGACCTTTTTTAAAAGTCCTTTAGCTATTCCTCATAAGTGTTCTGTTATTAATATCATATTGTCATTCTTAAGTTAACACCTCCCTTGAGCAGAAACAAACTGAAAAAAATCTAACAAACACACTACTCTTCTCCAAATGTTCCTGCAACCTTAAAATGGATTAAAACTTAAAACTCCTAAACTCAGGTGTTGATTAGTGCTGACTGAGAAGCAAGTGTGTGCCCCTATCCTCCCCCCCCCCACACACTTGGTAGGGAAAAGTACTGCAACAGACATTCTGTCCTAGTTCTGATCAGTAGTTGTGTGACCTCCAGCCACTCACCAAACACTCTGAGTTCCATTTTCTTCAAGTATAAAATAAATGAATACTTCCTGTTCTTCCAGGTTGCTGGGAGTGCTTTGACAACAGACTACTTAATATTAAGATTTTGTAGCAAACTATACCATGATACTTTGGGAGTATTTTGATTTGAGAGTTCAAAACAAATTTAATAAGAAAATAAAAGATTAGTGATATTGGGTATTCAAAACTCACATACACAGTTTCAAAATAACAGTAGCTGGTCTCATAATTTGTAATACGGGGCTGTGACCCTTTCTGGGTGTGAGAGGGTATGTTTTTCTTACATACCTGTTTTTTACTGAAGACCGCTTATATTTGGGGACATAGAAAGCAAAGTTAACATCCACGTTGTCTTCATACAGTGTTGGATGACAGTTTCCTTGGTTCATTTTTTTTGCTCTATATAGTTTTACCAAATATATGAACATATTTAGACCTTAGAAAGTGATTTCTTTTGTTTTGGTGGTCTCTTGAGTGTTAATTACACCTGAAAATCAGATGACTTCTGAAGTTTTGGGGGGGCAAAGGGGAAAAGACAAGTGCAGTAATCCTCACATGTTGGAAAACTGACCTCACATCCTGGTGCCTTGTCATGTGTTCTTTTCCACTCCCAGGGAGTTCTGTCCAACATCTCTTCCATCACTGATCTCGGCGGCTTTGACCCAGTTTGGCTCTTCCTTGTGGTGGGAGGAGTGATGTTCATTTTGGGATTTGCAGGGTGCATTGGAGCACTACGGGAAAACACTTTCCTTCTCAAGTTTGTAAGTATCACACTCTCGGCTCTCAGACTGAGAGCCAAACTCTAATCTTACATCAGGAGGACACTCTATCTATAGGCAAGATGGTGAGCTGCACCAAAGGCACTGACACATGACCCAGGGCATGCATTTCTTTGGGGAGAACACTAGACCCCTGCCATGCCTCCTTAATAATAGAAGTACCACCCCCACTTGTGCCATCTATAGAGGTTTTGTACAAGTGTATCACAAATTTGCAATCCAATCCCTAAAATACCTTTGGGACTAAGGTAGGTATATATTTTTTTCTTCTTTTAAGTTATTTCCCTCCCTCTTTCACACACATAGTGAGTGAAGAGTTGTGCAGGTAATTGTCTTTGAGAAACGAGGCATAAGCGCAGTGATTGTGACCTACCCAGATTAAATATGTTAAGCAGTAGAAATGAGGTAGGTGCCATAGGCCTCAACTACACCACCCACCACGCCCCCCATCCCCTTCTTTGTCCTCCGACCCTATTCCCCTCCCCCTTCCTCTCTCCCTCCTACACCCCAGCTGTTCCAAATCTTAGAATGTAAAAAATAATAATAAATTTTAAAAACTCAAAATAAAAATAAATAAATGTGTTAAGCAGTAGGTTTTAATAAATATGGAGAAACAGTAAAAGGTGAATTGCCTTTGTATTTAGCCAGTACAAAGTTCTCTGTTGTATGACCAGCATAATATTTAGATCCTTTATGTGGTGTTTGGTGTGATCACTTTAATGGGAATATTTGTAGAGGAGGGTTTTACCAGGGTATATATAAAAGTGTTAAAAGTAAAAGTAGAGAATGAAAAGTGAAAGCCTTTCCTTTGGAGATTCCTTCAAAAGGAGAATGAAATGGCATATGCTGACATATATGGGTCTTAAATAGTCTTGGTACATGCGTCCTAGGCCAGCTGAGTGTGTCTGTCAGCATGGAGCTTGGTGTGCTGGTGGGGCGTCTGCATTACAATCCTATGTATGAAGTGGCCACTCCTCTTTACAGGAGCAGGAAAAGGATCAAAAGGACCCACCTTACTATGGTGAGGGAAGATTGTGGGACTACTTCTAGAAAGTAGTCTGTGTAATATTACTTGTTATTAGAATCATTTCCAACCTTTGTTAATGCATCATCGTCCAGGGACGTTTTCATTTAAGACAGAATATATCCTAGAACTAGCCCCAGTGGCCACGCAGTGTGTGATTCTCCTCCCCTGCATTTCTGCCACACCATCCTCTGGCTCTAAGAGGGACTCACCGTGTCCCACCCGGGTTAGCCCATATCAAATCTAGGCACCCTGGCTCAGAGAAGGTTTTGAAGTCTGTTTAACCTGAAAGTTCATGTAGCTTATGCTAACAAGGAATACCGGAGGGTACCTGGTGTTACATACAATTCATGAGCACTTGGTTGTCTGTTGCATCCATGGGACTACGGCAGGTGGAGCTAGTTTCCCGAGACTCTGCCTGCCTTATCTGCCAGGTCCCTCCTTTCTACACACACACTACCAAACACTTCTTTCTCCACCTAGCCAAAGACCTGTGGAGCCCCAGGAGAGCTTTGTCTCTGATTATGCCTGGACAACTTGCCAGTCTCCTTGGCATGAGGTATCTAAATGCTGATCTTACCTTTACAGCTTTTCTGCAGCCTGATCAGGCCCTAGAGAATACTTATAGCCCCTGTTTTATCAGTTTAAGCCTCCATGCCCCAAAATGTGGGATCCCCTTTAACATGATTTAATATGATTTACTTTATAGTATTGTTTATAATCACAGTCCCTTAAATATAGTTTATTTTTCATAGTTGAAGATACCAGAGTTAACTGAATAGGCAGAAATACACATATTTCTCTAAGCACCTTAATTTATAAAGTCCTGTGTTGAAAATGAAGAGAATTAGGTTTTGGGGGCTTTTTTAAGTCTTGGAGAATATTTTAAATAGCCTCTCTCTCCATTTAGTAGAAACAATAAAAAAAAAAAAAAAACTGGCCTAGAATATTCTTTGAGTAAGAACAGTGAGATAAATAGGAAGTAAATGTCAACATGACTAAACAGCCTCAAAGATCTGATGCTTTAAGACTAGGAAAATTGCTGAAGGAAAGTACAAGAGCTTAGATACTGTGAAATAGAAATGGAGCTTCCTGGCTGACCAAGGCCCTAGGATGAAGCCTTTGAGTCAGTCTCTGCACCACTGGAAATAGGGGAATTAGCTGACAGGTAGCCTGGGGCATGTAGGTTTCTGCCAAATATTTGATAGGAATTGAATTTGGACTGAATTTTTGGTATGTATATTATGTAACATGATGAGAAAATTTACCAGGGGAACTAAAGAATGAACTTATCTAACCTTTATGGAGGTAAGAACAAAAATCTAATTAAAATCTTAACATGATTTCTGTCTTGGTGTTTTCTGTGTGCACTCATGCATGCTAACTATAATTTTATCATTGCTATAGTGTGAGAACTGTCATAGTTACATGTTTAAAGAGGTACCTAATAAAGGGAAGGAACTTGTTTTATACTGGGGGTAGGCATTGAGCAAAAGCAGTGTGATTTTTTTTCCCTGTCCTTTTTTCTAGATTGAAGAATGCTTAAATTGAAATTATTGGTGCCACTGATGATAATTAAGAACTGTTTGAATTCTGTTTCTAGTGAATTTACCAATAACAGATAACCAGGAGCTCTATAGAAACATGAAGGGCTAAGCTGGAGGGTCTAGAACTGGGGGGTCCTAGACTTTGCCAGGCACTGATTTCTTCCTTCCAGCCCTCCCCTTGCTGCCTGCCTCCCCCTCTCTGTGCTGCCCTTGGCCCTGGATAAATGCTGTTAGAGATATACTGATATGGAGTGTGAAATGCGCACACCCCCAATCACATAAGACTGTGGGGTCTCTGAAGGCAAGGATATGGCTCATCCTTGCACTGCAAAGCCCACCTGCCACAGGGCCTAACCCACTATGGGACATCAAGCAGATGTTTGCTGAATGGAATAAATGTTTCTTGTCTTTTAACAAGTAATGTGTCGTTTCCTTTGCCCTCCCCTTTGCCCCCTCCCCATCCAATACATTTTTCTCTTGGCTGGCTCTCTGCTTGCTGAAGAGAGAAACCACAGACTGCTTGGGTTCCCCTGCCTCCGCAGCCACCCTCTGTTCTTCAGCCTTCAGGACCTGTGCCCCTCAGCTGTGGCCCCAGTGTCGCTCCCTCTGCCATTGTCACCAGAAGAGTTTGCCTGCAGTATACCCCCTGGTCCTTCACAGCCCCATTTCTCATAGTCTGTTTTAGCGAAAAAACAGGGTAAGAATGTGGCCGGCAGGAGGAGGTGGAAAGAACCGTGGGCGTCAACAGCAAGTTGATATGACTAAGAGGAGGCTCTTCCGACTCTTCTAGATGGAAGGGAAATTTTTTCAGAGTTACAGGCAATTACCACATTGCCTTATGGTCTCTAGCCCTCCTTTTTAAACTCATGTTGCCTCCATTAGCCTTTGGCTGCACTTTGATGTTACATAAAATGTTTCCTGAGCCTGGTTCTTCCCAGAGGAAGGCGAGTACAGCTAAGATTCCTGAGAAAGCCCTCAACCCTGGGGTTTCATTGTGTCACAGTCACCGCCCCCGCCCCCACCCCCACTTCCTCTTTGACCTCTTTCCTAAGATGGAGACATCTGTACAGCAGGTGCCAAGGGGAATTAAAATAGTGTCTGAATCCATAAAAGGTTATATTGCATGCAGAATCAGGGCCACAGTAGTAATAAATGACAGGTGATCCTAAAATATTGGGATAATCTATCTTTCAAGTTAAAGAAGCTTACTAAAGGTAGGGGCAGGTCCTCGTTCAAGCGCCTGGCAGTACATTAATCATGAGGAATTCATTAGGCCTTAATGTGGGCCTAATGAGAAATTCCTATTATTCATGTTTGCTTATGGGCTTTGTTGGTTAATTACCAAATGGAACACCAGAGACCTTAAAATGTGATTATGAAATGATTTTTAATTTTAGAAAATCCTTTCTTGGACTGTAATATTCTATTAACAAATCTTAAGAAACTGAATATTATCTGCTTTGGAGATATATAACAATACAATGTAATTACAGATCTTTTTAGAGAGGAAGCATTTAACTATATATGATCAAAATAGTCCTTATAATTGTTCTCTTTGTGTCTTTTGTCTTAGTTTTCTGTGTTCCTGGGAATTATTTTCTTCCTGGAGCTCACTGCTGGAGTTCTGGCATTTGTTTTCAAAGACTGGATCAAAGACCAGCTGTATTTCTTTATAAACAACAACATCAGAGCATACAGGGATGACATTGATTTGCAAAACCTCATAGACTTCACCCAGGAATATGTAAGTTTAAATTTGGTTTATCTTCAAGTTTAAAATCTTTTCAGAACGATGACCCCATGAATATTCCTCCTGGCGTCTGCTTCAGCCAACTGGAAAATACCTCGGACTTTCCTGCATGAGTTTTTGTTTGTTTGCTTGTTTACTATTTTAAGACTTGCTCTATGACTTACAGGATTTGTAGCCTAAATGGAAATGTCCTTTTTTTGCTTGTTTCAATTTCTATTAAATCAGAGGAACAAAGAAGAAAACTCTTGAGCAAAAAGGTTATAATCACAGTAGTTTTTCCCATCAGCATTTGAAGAACATTGTTTTGCTGTCGGTTTAAAGTTTTATTTGGTTATTAAGTATGAATTTTTCCTTGTTCCTTGCCCTCTTTTAAGTAACCCTTCATACTTCACAGCTCATAACAATATACTTAATAGGATATTTGTCCACAAGGTCCCTAAAATATGCTTATCCAAATATCATTTTGGCACATGCAGTTAAAACCAACAATTTAGAAACTTCTAAGGCCTATTGGCTTCTAATGAGTGAAAAATTTAATCTGGCAGTAGAAGCCTGCCCACCCTATCAGATCTTGGAGCACAACTGTGCCTTGGCTCCTGCAGTGCAAACAAAGCAGCAGATGCCCTTTTTCACTCAAAATGTAAAATGATATAGACAGAGGGTCAAAAGACACAGATCTGGTGCCAAAAGCTGACTAGTTAATTACCTTGGGCTCACAGGATCTTGACCTGTTTCTCCAATAGTAAAATGGAAATAATAATAGCTACTATCTAACTCATGGAGATACTATGACGCACTAATGAGATGTACATGGTTTTACATTAGTCCTAAGGTATTATTGTCCTGTAAACTGGTAGTTCCTTATATACCTACACTGAGAAATTGGGAAAGCTGAGCAGACCTGGACAGCTGTGTCCATGGCATTAATGGACGTGGCAGGCCTGGAGGGCAAACAAAAGCCCAATGGACCAATGGCCTTCTTTGAGTTCTGCTGTGACAGTTTTCCAGAATGAGCTGGCATCACCTTTGATAAAGGGAAGAAACGGCTACATCAGCACTCGTCATGAGGGAGGCACCACCGTCCCTCATTAGGTTCTCAGCACTGAGATGAGCTGTGTTGGTTTTGTTCAGTGGCAGCAACAATTGTCCTGGAGTCAGCTGGACCTCAGGTGTGAAATTAGGCCCTGTGTCATCTCCTCCACGACTTCCCTGTTTTGCTAGCTCATGACGGATGCAAGCTCCCACCTTCCCAGGTATTATGCCTGATTCATTTGCATGATGAACCTGATGGAGCTTTGTAGGCAAACTGGAGACTCAGAACTCAAGCCCTCGGAGGACCAGATGAGCTTGAAGAATATATGCATGTTCTCTTGAATGCTGTCTACTTTATATGGAAATACTGTTTTTCCCTATGACTTTATTTTTCCATCATGGAGTTTTATGTTTTGAAGTAGCTATTCGTCCTGAAAGCCTTAAAATAGTCACGATTTGATATTTATTTAACTCAAAGAAGTAGAGATAGGCCAGTCCCAGGGAGTAATGAAGGGGCTTATGCAGCAGCCCTTGAATCAGGCCCTGTTTAAGACTCACCGAATTTAACAGCTCATTTTACTATATTTTAATTAGAAGACTGACTTTTTAAAATTGAAAACATAAACAAATGCTCTTGTTTAAAAAAAATTCAGAGTAGGAACAAATGTAAAGAAAAACTTTGGGGGTGATATATATGTTCACAATCTTGATTGTGGTGATGGTTTCACAATGTATACATCTGTCAAAACTTACAAATTGTACACTTTAAAAATGTGCAGTTTATTATATGTCAGTTACACCTCAGTGAAACTGATTTTTAAAAATACATTAAAATGTAGAGATTAAAACTTTAAAAAAGTAAGCTTCTCGGTAGCCCACCCATCCCCAGTTACCTCCTTGAGACGTTACCACTGTTGTTAGTGTCTTGTTTATCCTTCTAGAATGTTGTTCTTTATTCTTCTAGAATGTACACAAGCCAAACAGACCTTGTTCGGAGCTCTGCTGTGCAATTTTCTGCCTTTCCTCCACCAAACACCATGGGTCTCATCAATCGTTTAAATCACATGCCAGCACATCCTTACAAACCTTCAGCTTTAATTACTTTGAAAACTTTTACAGGGGCCATTTAGGTTCAGTTTGGCTTAAAAATAAGTTCTGAGACAGAGAGAAGGCTAGAGCTGGCAGAAGCTGGGTGTCGTTCTGGTGGGTGTGAGTGTAGGTGCCTGGTCGCCTCCAAGTCGAGATGTTCTAATTCTCTCCTGTTTGCTCTAGTGGCAGTGCTGTGGGGCTTTTGGAGCTGATGATTGGAACCTAAATATTTACTTCAATTGCACAGATTCCAATGCAAGTCGAGAGCGATGTGGCGTGCCGTTCTCCTGCTGCACTAAAGATCCCGCAGTAAGTGAATGCCAGCAACCTGGTGGCCTGCTCTGTGCACCACAGCAGAATGTGTGTGGGATGGGCTGAGTGGGTTTTTTTGTTGAAACCTCTTCTTACCCATTTATTACTAATCGTAGTTCCTGGAGGGGGCATAGTGCTCAAATCTTCCCAGTAGGTGTAATAATCGCTGACATCCTTTTAGCGATGTGCTGGTTCCTATTCTAAGCCTTTATGTGCATTGGCTCGTTAAAGTTCACAACATTCCTACCAGCAGATACCACCATTATCTTCCCCTTTCAGGTGAAGAAAGCAAAACACATGGAGTGTAAGTAACTTTCCAAGCTCACACTGCTCTCAGGTGATGGAGCTGAGCCTCAGACCCAGGCATCCTGCCCGAATCACCTGTTATTCCTTCTTTATGAGAAGGACAGGCTCATATGAGCTCTCTGCATTGGTTTGGGGTTAGTAACCCATTTCTTCCTGGCTTAGTTCTGGGGGAAATTTTAGAAGTAGGAGGAGAGTTTGAAATAAGGTAAGGCTAGACTACTTTGGAGAAAGACCACAGTCACCCAGACTCTTGGGTGTCATAGTGACTACAGTAATTGCATTTGGTATTTTATTTAAAAAAAGAAAAAAATAGAACACCTATTTGTAAACCATTATCTTTTACGACAGATTTGATTATATCTTGGGTCACATTTTGTGCCTGGTATATAGAAGGACTTAAAATGCAGCTCTTTTATTGGAAGTGAAAAGCCAGGATTGCGAGTTAGAGTGACAAATGTGAGAGGTTACTCCTGCAGTGTCGCTGCATGCTCCTGGCCATGGCCCTTCCAGGACTTTAGCCTCTCTCTGGCCCTTTAGTCCCCAAGTGTCCTCCCCAGACTCATTCTTCCCCCCAGCAAGCAGAGCTGAGCACTACTGAGTTCAGAGGTGATGTTCTTCCTGCAAGGTGGGACAGTGCCAGTTAGCTCAGTTGGTTAGAGCATGGTGCTAATAACACCGAAGTCCAGGTTTCAATCCATGTACTCACCAGCTGACAAAAAAAAGTGGGGGTCGGGGGTCTTGGGGTGGAAAAGCAGAATTTCCTGCAGGCTGCCCATTAGGAGTCAGCCTGGGCTGTTTCTCTTGGTTTGAAGGAGACTAAAAGAAGGAGAGTCATTAAGGACTGTGCCACCTTGGCTCTGTGACCTGGCCAGGAAAGCTGACCCTTCCTGCTGGCTCATTTTTCTCTCTCCTCTGAAGAGGGCCGAATGAGTGCCCAGCTCAGAGCCCCAGGTGCCCAGCACCCCAGGCAGCCTTGCCCCTGCCGCAGATACAGAACTGTGTGCTCCCTGTCTCCCGTTCCTGTCCTATACCACCAATCCATCAGGAGAATTCTGAAGATCCTGGGAAGGCATCATGCCTCGCCTTTCAACTACAGATCCTCTGGGTAGGGATATCTCATTCCATGAACTCTAAGCCAACAAAATCTTCCCCACACTTCACAGAGGGGAAAAATAAACTAACCGAAAAAAGCAAAACCCATGTTTTTCTGATCAGGCCCTGTGAGATGGATGTCAGACTGTCCATGTGATGTGTGGCCAGGGCATTGTTTCACTTTGAAATTATTAAAGTAATGCATTCTCACTGAAAATCTATTTAAATAATACAGACATATATAGATTAAAAGTAGAAGTCCCCCAAAAAGAACGAAAAGGAAGGTAGTCATTGTGCCCTTTAACTGGGGTATTTACCCATGTCTCTAGGTTCCTAAACCCAGATAAGTTAAGCTTCTGGAGGTTGGCAACACTTTGAATCTTGAGCCTCCTGAAGAGTGAACTTGCTGTCCTTTCTGATATTCCCTGAGCCTCAGTTTTCCTCATTTGTAAAACAGGCTGTATCTTCATCCTAATTCTGAAGATTGTCATAATAACCACATGGGATAACATATGTAAAGTGTTTAACATGGTGCCATGGTGTACGTGTCCAGATACACAGTTTATTACTGACACTTGGGGGACCTTCTGCTCATTCCTAGGTGAGCTTTCTCTCTAACAAGACTGGAGTTCACTTTTCTCTTTTCTTTTTTCATCAGGAAGATGTCATCAACACTCAGTGTGGCTATGATGCCAGGCAAAAACCAGTAAGTGGAACCTCATCTTGTCACTTTGCACAGGGTGTTTGGAGGAGTTTTTGCATATGCATGGTGCTGTATCTGTGACACTGTGCTCTCCTCTTCCTTTGTGAAGGAGGTTGACCAGCAGATTGTGATCTACACGAAAGGCTGCGTGCCCCAGTTTGAGAAGTGGTTGCAGGACAATTTAACCATCGTGGCTGGTATTTTCATAGGCATTGCATTGCTGCAGGTAAGACAAGGGTCCTTTGTGGATGTCACAGGGAAGAGATGCCCTGGGAGAGCCCCTGGCAGGACAGGAGCTTTGCTTAAGCATTGTAATATCAGAGTTTTTAAGACACATTAGAGGGCTGGGGAGCAGACCTAAACTATTTGGTTTGTATTTAAAGCTCTCATTTTAGATGGTACTGTCTTGAAATATTTCAGGAAAACTTTTTTCCATTTCAAGATGGAGAAATTCAATGGGTCAGTAGTTGCCTATGGGCATTCCATCATGGCCATGCGCTCAGTAATACTGCCTTATGGCAGCAGGGGCAGACATGAATGGTTGGAAGTAGATCTCAGTGGTAAAGTTAAGGCTTTGGGGAATTTCATAGAGATGCCGTGCCTCTTTCCCTCTCTGGACCGCCTTGCCACAGTGCTAGTGAGGAAGGGATCACCCACTTTTCCTAGGCAGTCTCAAGGGCTGCCTCATGTTGTCGATGTGATACTTTCTTTGGAGGGTCGCAAATGGGGCATATAGTTGAACAAAATTAAAGAAGATCTAAATAAATGGAAAGATATCCTGTGCTCACAGATTGCAAAACTTAGTATTGTTGGGGCCGGCCCGGTGGTGCACTGGATAGTGCGCCGCTTGGGAAGCGCGGCTGGCGCTCCCGTCCGAGGGTTCGGATCCCACATACAGACCGGCTCCCGCTCACTGGCTGAGCGAGGCGCGGGAGCAACACCAAGGCTTGCAATCCCGTTGCCGGTCCCCGGTCCGGTACGGGGGCAACACTGAGGGTTGCGATCCGTTGCCGGACACGGAAAAAAGACAAAAGACAAAAAAAAAAAAAAAACAAAACTTAGTATTGTTAAAGTAGTAATACTCCTCAAATTGATCTACAGATTTAATACAGTTCCTACCAAAATTCCAATTGCCTTTTTTTAAAAAAATGGACAAGCGGATACTACAATTCATATAGAAATGCAAGGGACCCAGAATAGCCAAAACAAACTTGAAAAAGAATAAGGTTGGAGAATTCACACCTTCCAATTCAAAACTTACTACAAAGAGACAGTAATCAAGATAGTGTGTACTTGAGTAAGGTTAGCCATATAGATCAGTGGAATGGAACTGAAAGTCCAGAAATAAACCCATAAATGTACAGTCAGTTGATTTTTGACAAGGGAACCAAAACTGTTCAATGGGGAAAGAATGGTCTTTTTAACAAATGATGCTGAGAAAACTGGACATCTGTGTGCAAAAGAATGAGTTTAGATTTCAACCTCACACAGTATATAAAAATTAACTCAAAATAGATCAAAGACCTAAATATGAGAGCTAAACTATAAAACTCTAGAAGAAAAACATAGGTGTAAATCTTTGTGACTTTGGATTAGACAGTGTTTTCTTAGATATGACACCTAAAGCACAAGCAACCAAAGGAAATATAAATTGGACTTCATCAAAATTAAAAACCTCTGTGCAAAAAATGATACCATGAAGAAAGTGAAAAGATAACCCAAAAAGTGGGAGAAAATATTTGCAAATCATTGTCTTGTATGGGTCTAATACGTAGAATAAATAAAGAACTTTTACATCTCAGCCGTAAAAAGACAAGCCCAATTTTAAAATGGGCAGAACATCTGAATAGACATTTCTCCAAAGAGATACAAATAGCCAATAAGCACATGAAAAGATACCAACATCATTACTCACTAAGGAAATGCAAATCAAAACCGCAATGAGATTTCACTTCACACCCACCAGGATGTCTATAATAAAAACAATAACAAGGGTTGGCAAGGATGTGGAGAAATTGGAATCTTCATATGTTGCTGGAGGGAATGAAAATGATGCAGCCTCTTTGGAAAACAATTTGGCAGTTTCTCAAAGAGTTAAACATAGAGTAAGAGTTACTATATGATCTAGCAGTTCTACTCCTAGGAATGCACCCAAAAGAATTGAAAACATGTTTACCCAAAAACTTGTACATAAATGTTCATAGCAGCATTATTTATAATAGCTCAAAAGTGGAAACAATGCAAATATCCAAAAACTGATGAGTAGATGAACACAATGTGGTATATCCTTGTGATGGAATATTATTCAGCCACCAAAAGGAATGAACTACTGGTACATGTGGATGGACCTTGAAAAAATTTCACTACTTGGGAAAAGAGACACAAAAGCCCCATATTATATGATTCCTTTTATATGAAATGTGCAGAATAAGTAAATTCATAAAGACAGGAAATAGATAAGTGGTTGCCAGGGCTATTGGGATGGGTACATGGGAATGACTGCTCATGGGCGCAGGGTTTCTTTTTGGGATGACGAAAATGTCCTGTAATTAGATAGTGGTGATAGTTGCATAGCTTTGTGAATATACTAAAAACCACTGAATTATATACATTAAAAGGATGTATTTTGAATATAGGAGTTTTATCTCAAGTTTTAAAAATCAAAGATAAAGGGAAACAGCCAAAGAAAAGCCTATTGAAGTTAAGAATTTCACTTGACTCATTTTTCCTTCCTTTCTCAGATTTTTGGGATATGCCTGGCCCAGAATTTGGTTAGTGATATTGAAGCTGTCAGGGCTAGCTGGTAGAACCCTCAACAGCTGCTGTTAAGACACTGGACAGACCCAGCCTTCGTGACCCTCCCACGTGCTGAACTGATATTCACACTGCACGGACCTAATCACGGAGGCATCCTGCAATCTCACCTAATGGAGCTGCCAAGAACTTGTTCTTGGGGGGGTTAGACTGGGAAATGCTGCTCACTGACAGAATTTAAAAAAAAAAAAAAAAGTGGGAAAGTCATTGCGCCGTGAATCTCTACTGTAGCCATGAATTTATGGATGGTTGGATGCTTACCAAAAAAGAAAAAAAGAGAGGATGGGGGAGCAGATGTACTTGAATTTGTGGAAAAGTCTTGTGTTTTACTTCCATAATTGGAGGGCTGGGAGGGGCTGTTTTGCTCTTCACCACACCCTGGAGGGCCTGCCTTCTGTTCCATGGCCCGAAGAAGTGCATCTCTTCTAAAAGTCAACCTCTTCCCTGGGAGGGCAGTGGTTTTTGGCATCCTTCCATGTACATTTCAAGAAACTGTTGCAACTATCATCTGCGAAGAAAACAGCTTGTCTTTGGGTTCAGGTTTTGAGATCGTCCTCAACAAGTAACTTGGTTGACCAACTTGGTCTTTCCTGGAGTGTCTCCTTAGAAGAAAAGTTGTGTATTCCCTGTGCACTGAGCAAGTGCCTTGGAAGACTTCATGATGCCGTATTTTAGCAGGACTGATCTTTTTTCTAAGTAGGCCTAAGCTTTATTTATCAGTGAAATCTAAGGAGAAAATGAGGTTAATGAAGAGGTATTAGTTTAATACTCCCTCACCCCCACCCCACCAAATTAAGTAGTTGGATTCTTTGGAAACTCTGGAATACTCTGGGTTGTTTTATTTGTTTTCTGTCTTCCAATGTGAAAGCTATGATACAGTTCCTGTTAAATTTTAAAATGGTTTCTTACTGAACTCAAATATCAATTTTTTTGTATAATCTTACCTGCATGACTTGTGAATCTGGACCCATCATCTCCTTTTCCAGCCTTCCTGCAAACGTCTAAAAATGTTATTTGGTCAGCATTTATTTCGTAGGCTCACGGCCTTGGGAGGTTGTGGTGTGTCCTCTCAGCCTGGCGGGGAAGAGACGAGCTGTGCCATCACAAGTGCTTCCACGGACTCAACAGTCTCTCCCAGTGTCCATCTTAGTGGCCTCTTCTGCACCCTCCCTTCTTTCTCTTTGAGTGGAATTAAACTCAATTCCAAAACAGTGTTGACACACTCAAGAAGCTTCTAATGGGTCTTTTTATTCTTCTTCTGGGTTTAGCTTGCTTTTGTTAAAAAAAAAAGTGCATGGCCGAGCTTCGTGTTGCAGACTAGCTGTCAGGAAGGTAACAAAGCACAAGTACTTTGGAGGGGAGTGCCTCGAACTGGGGCAGTGTTCTGTGACACAGGATGGGAAACCACTTCCAGGCGCTGCCACCCCTCCCCCACTCCAGGTGGGAGGGATGAGTTTTGCCCCCACAGATTTTAACCCGCCAGTGTCCACTGGCTGTTTCTCTCCTGGGGGATAGATATTTAGTCTATGGGACACTGAGAAAACCACAGGCGTGTTTTACGGTGGTGACACATTTGCCAGCACATAACTGGGCAGCCAGCTAGCATACTTTGTGGAAAGTTAGCAAGGTTTTCCATCTTAGCCCCATGTTGCATTGTGGTGGCTGATGAGTGTGTCAATCTGCTTAGAGAAAGGACAGAAATTCTCTTAAAATCTCATCTCTGCAGTTTGGGTGTTTGTATGACTCTGCATGTGTGTGTTTGTGTCTCTGTATAGGCAGAGATGTTTGTTCCATATTTTGGCTTTTAGACTATCTTATTTTATCCCTGCGCCCACCTCAGTTGTCATTTAGTAATGTCATTCCACCATGGAGAAGACATGAGCTCTCCAATTGGCACTTCTGTCTTTTGTTCATTACCTCATTCTCCAGTGGACTCCATCTGACCAGTTGATTCAGATCAGGCAAGATCCCCACCCTTTGGCACATGGTGAAAGGGGAAACAGCAAGTCTAAGTGAGTTTTAAATTTTAATCACCCTTTATTTTTTACACTTGAGAGTGGTTGTAATAAAAGCTGTCATTAATAAACTTGGTTCTACCTTTCATTGAGTTATGTCTTCATTACTTTGCCCTTGAAATTGTGAAATGCTCTAATTCAGTGGCTCTCAAACTTAGGCTTGCATCAGAAAAACCAGGAGGGCTTGTTAAAACACAGGTGACTGTGTTTGCCCCATCCCCAGAATTTCTGATTAAGTAGGTCTGGGGTGGGGCTTGAGAATTTGTACTGCTGACAAGTTCCCAAGTGATGCTGTTGCTGCTTGTCTGGTAACCACATTTGATTTTGAGAAGTGCTGCTCTGATCCGGTTTTCCAGGAGGGAAAGGAGGCTGGTAAGGTTTTGTGGCCGAGAGAAAAGCTCCTTTGCACTGCCCTGTGCAGACTGATGAGAGACGGGCTGGAGCCAGGTGTGTAGGAAATCTGTCCCTGAAGTCGTATGCTGGTTACCATCACCTGGGACCATGTAAAATGCAGATCCCCAGGCTTTACCCCTAGCAGTTATGGAGTGGGAGACGTAGGGTATGTAATTTTTAGAAGCTCCCATGAAAATTTAATGCACAGTGGAATTTAGGATTCATGGACCTAAATCAATGTCGACAATATTCACAGCCTTTTTATGAGAAAATTATTTCTTGCCGTCCCTTGGAGCAGGAATCTTACAAACCCATTTGCAAAATAACCAACTTAAATGTCTTTTTTTTTTTTTTCGTGTCTGGCAACAGGATCGCAACCCTTGGTGCTGCGTCCGCCCCTCGCTCAGCCAGTGAGCGGGAACCGGTCTGTATGTGGGATCCGAACCCTCGGCGGGAGCGCCGCCACACTCCCAAGCGGCGCACTGTAGCAGTGCGCCACCGGGCCGGCCCTTTAAATGTCTTTTTATTGGGAATTATCACTGCAGAAGAAGGCTTCTGTCTTTAAAACTGATTAAACAATTTTCAAACATCAAATGAAAAGAAATATTAAGATTCATATAGTACTCTCAGACGCTGACACTATATCCCAAGACCTGTTAGAGGAAAATTTTGCCTTACTTCCCTGGACATTTGAAAGAAATGTTATTTTGATTTTAAGGAAACTTACCATTGGTGATTGGAGATGACTCATCCCTGTTTCTTGAGTTTTCTTATCTGTGTGAGGTAATTGGCCCTGCTTGCTCATTGCAAACTCAGGCCAAGAAAGGAGAAAAATCACAGCTTAAATGTATAAGGATGCCTTGCCTACCAAACTCAGAACTTGAAGGAAGCGTCTTCAGTGTGTAAAAGAGACTTTAGGGGAAGAGGAATACATTTCATTTTATTTCTGTTGTTCGACTAGTTACCACAAACATTTTCATAATTTAAAAAGTTCTTAAAAAACTCAGGAATTAACAAGTAAAATCTTGCATTGCAAAGTACTTGAGAAAGAAGCGCATTTACTTTTTCAACTGCCCTTTCTCCCAGTTTTCTTCTCTCAGCTTTCTTCTTGCTTCAGGCCGCGGTCGTGCTTTCCACAAGGGGATTCTTCCAAGTGTCTCTTGGTTTCTTATGCAAAATATCGGATCACTCAGGCCCTGAGTGTGTGTGGCAGGAATGGAACACGGTAGCAGTTTTGAGGCGCTTCTCAGCATCCGTTCCCGGCCCGCCCGGACAGGAGCCCTGGGCAGCCTGTGGGCCCGACAGTGAGGAGCGGAGCCCGGCGCCCCGACAGGCCCTCCTGCTCCCGGGAAATTCTGCTTGGCCTTCCAGGGAGGAAGCGGGAGCCTCTGCGTAGAGCCTGGCCGGCACCGCCCGATGAGGAAGCCCAGTCCTTGAATGGGAAGGAAAATGCATTTGCCTGGAAATACAGTAGCGTTGGCTTTATCATGATGACGCCGTGAAATCTAGACGTGACAACAGGCAAAGCAGTTGATGTACCGGGTGGGGAGTAGGGAGCAGGGAAAAAGCCAACCTGAACGGGGTCCACAGCCATCACCCGCTCACCGAGCCCCCTTTTTTGGAGTGGTGTGCTACAAAGGTAGCGTTTATGAAATTACACTTTTTAGGACTTCTCTGAGGGATTAAATACAGCTTCCTTTGGAGTATTCATGCTGACTGGTTCTCTTGCAAACTTGTCACCAATTAGACGATGGATACCTGATTTAGTCCCCTCCTGGTGTCCATTAACCCCAAACAAACCCCTAGGGACCTACCCTGGCCAGTGCAGTTTATTCCTCCACTCTAGAAGCTCCCAACTGGAGCGAAGCTGAAGAGCAGAGGCTAGTTCATGGGCTTTGTGCTGCGTGAATGTGCTCCAAAAAGAAAACACCGGCACGCAAACAAGACAGTGCTTCCCATGCTGTGCCCCTCACCGGACGCCTGCTTGCGTTATATGTGGGGAAGCCAACGCGAAAGCCACCGTTTAAATCTGGAGAATTCGTCGAGTACGGGGGTACTTCAAAAAGTCCATGGAAAAAGGATTAAAAAAATGCAAATCTCTCCGTGAACTTTTCGAAGACCCCATGTAAGCTTTTGCATTTGCAGAGCCGCTGGTTTGAACAGGAACGTTTTAGTGGCCTGCCCCCTAGTGTCGACCAGGTAGAACAGCTGACGAGTTGAAATGGTTACTTCAGGGATGAACACAGGAGGGTGTACAGCTTGTGTTGTGTGCCTAGGGTGGGCATTTTAATACTTTTACACACTCCTGAGAATGGCATGGCTTGATTTGGAAATTTAGGGAGCAGCTAATCTGCTTTTGTCACCATCTATGTCCCCATCTTGCTGCTGGGATATTATTAGGGTGTTGCTGGAGGTGCCCGCAGGTCGAAGCTGGCCCCTGCGCTCCTGTCAGGTCTTAGATGCAGTTTCTTAGATGGCAGTGAAGGTCTAAAAGTGCTCGTCTGCCAGGCGGGAGACTCTGCATCTTCACGGCACTCGTCAGTGGGGTCTGCACCCTCCCTCCCAGGACACACCACCCTCCACTAGAAGAGACGTTTGGGAGACCAGTGGCCGATCTTGATTCCTCTTCAACACGAGCAACTCTCCTGAAACGATGAAAAGAATACCCCTTATATTTCCTCTAAAAACACCAGTGTGTTGGGAGAGCAAGGTGCGGATAACACCAAGGTCTAGGGTTTGGATCCCCTTGCCAGCCACCCACCAAAACCAAAAACCAACCAAACAAAAAAATGTGGGTCACCTGGAGTTTGCTTTGATCTGAGACTTTGCAACCGTGATCTTTAAAGGTGGTGGAGACTGACTTGCATTTTAGGAGTTTGTTGTGTGTCGAATTGTTTTCCCAACATTGTTGAAGTCAGTTCCTTGGAATATGACCTTATTTAGAAATAGGGTCATTGCAGATTTAATCAGTTCAGATGAGGTCATACTGTAGTCAGGTGGACCCCTACCCCAGGAAGACTGGTAGCCTTATAAAAAGGGAATTTTGGGGGCCGAGCCCCGTGGCGCACTCGGGAGAGTGCGGCGCTGGGAACGCAGCAGCGCTCCGCCGCGGGTTCGGATCCTATACAGGGATGACCGGTGCACTCACAGCGCTCACTGGCTGAGCGCGGTGCGGCCGGTCTCAAAAAGGACAAAAAAAAAGGGGGGGGGGATTTTTGGACATGGACACACACAGGTAGAACACCGTCTGCACATGAAGGCAGAGATCATGGTGATGCATCCATAAACCAAGGAATGCCAAGGTTTCGGGCAAACCACCAGAAGATAGCAGAGAGGCAAGGAACACATTCTCCCGCAGAGCCTACAGAAGAAACCAACCCTGCCACCACCTTGATTTTGGACTTCTAGGTTCCAGAACTGTGAGAGAATAACTTCTGTTTAAGCCCCACACTTTGTTATGACAGCCTTAGGAAACTAGTACACAGTTTGATTGCCTGTGGCTGGTTTTCAGGCTGGAAGCAGTAGGGCTGCTCCTAGACAGACGTTTCTCTGGTGGAAGGACGTGTGTGCGCGCGCCCGCGCTCCCTATTGTTTGAATGGATGCACCTGAGCATCTGCTTTAAGCTCCTGAAAAGTCTTGACACGTTTTGCGGGACATTTTAAATCTAAGGAATGCTTTATTACATTGTGATTAAAAGTCATGGTGCTGCTTTCTGTATTTATTTGACGTAAACTATCTTAAATTCAACTTGTTAGAGTGATTAAGGTTTTTATAAATACAGTTGCTATTATTTCCGTGGCTTGTGCTTTCCTTAGTCTTGTTACTTTTGTGACTAAATCAGTTCACTGGTTTGTGACTCCTTGCTGCAAGTTGAGTACTAGGGTGAATGCCTCATCTGTCCTGAAAGCCAGGGCTCACAGACCCCTCAAGTCTGTTGCACAGACTGGGTCACAAACCCTCCACACGTAGGTCTGTGAGCTAGGTAATAGAAAAAAAAGGTTCTGGGAGCTGTGGGTATAGAAAAATGAATGGGTTTTATTCAGATCTAGGAGCAACTGTCCCAGTGGCTTCTCTGAGAGTTCTGAGAAGCACTGTGGACCAGAGCTGTTAGTCTTTTATACTTAAGTCCACAACCCTGGACACCTGGGTGCCCATACACAATTCACATTAAGTAGTAACAAGGAACACCTGAGGATATTTGCAGCAAATGCGCGCAAGATTCTGAACATCTGAGGGGCCCTGACCATTTTCCTATTTTTCCCAACATGTACCTTGAAATAACAGATCACATTTACTGAAAGTTTACATTGTCTCAAGCACTGTGCTATAGTCTGCCTATATTTCTGAGGAAATGTAAACTGATGGAGGGAAAACCCCACACACGTGGAAAATTTAGACTTCATCCAAAGCCGAACTGACATCCTCTAGGTTGGTGCTGGTTGAGAAATGGGAAGAACGCAGGGGGTGATGGGAGACGGTCTCCAGGAGGAAGAGAGGCCTATCTGGGACCCCAGGGAGAGGGAAGAGAAACATTCCAGGGTAGGAAGAATAAGGCCCTGGGAGACCATACAGCTTCTAGACTGCAAGAGTAGGCAAGAGTGCTGATAAGCAGTAAGAAGGTCAAGTATGGAGAGTCTCAGAATTGTGGCCCGGTCCCTGGCACATGCCAGGCACTCAACACTTTGCTGAATGAT